GACAAAAATTACCAGTTGCAATTTCACATCGATAAACTGAAATGATTTATTGAATAATGAGCGTTTGGATTCTGTTATCTTTGTTATTTCGAATATGAATATAAACTCAAATTATAAAAGTACTACGACATGTATATGAAGTTTGTCAAATAAATTGTCCATCATCACGGTTTTACCGTATTTACGCTATCTTAATTGTGATTACTTTTGATCATAGTTACTATCTTATAATCTCTACTACTCAATTCTTCCTCTTCTTCTTTTTTGTACTGTGCAATTTTTTGATACTATATTTACTTTTAATTTGGGATGAATGTAGGAAAGGAAGACAATTTAATTCTTGTGGAGTTTTTAAATGATTAACTTTGAAGCCATGCTATTTATTGCTTTCAATAGTGCAGGATTAGCTGTTATCTTCCCTCTTGCTTTTTTATTGACTTTCAAGATATTGTTCACCGAAAAATTTCACTAGCCAAATATTGCAATTAACAAAATTTTAGAACAAATTTTTGAACTGCAAGTCTCAATAGAAGTGCTTACTTTCCTTTTTCTCTTTCTTCTTTATTTATTTTCTTCGTTCCCCATTAGTTACAAGTAAATTATGTAATTACACAAATCATTAAAGTTGATGACTTTCTTACAAATTTCATTGACCATCCATCACGAAATTATGTACTTCTATTTTAACAAGGAAAAAAGGTTATTTGAATTGCCATTGTTTTGAAGAAGTGCCCTTTAAATTTCAGTCGAATTCAGAATGCTGTTTGGATTCATTAGTCACCAAATTCAGTTTAGGATTTTCAATTTCATTTCATTTGAGGATTTAACTCCGAATATCCTCTTTCACTTAGTTTAGTATTAAACTAATGGAAATTAGTACATTGTTCCTTTTTCCTCTAATTTTTACATAACTATAACTTAACTTTATTTCCCTTTCTTTTTCCTTTATTTACTATGCACAACCTTGAGTTTTACTAATCTCATGAGTCATGATATACACAAAAAATCTTACACAGACAGATTAATTTTGTGCCTTTGTAAACATTTTGTCTCAAAGTGTAAATAATAAAAGAAAATCATGTCAAATTACCAGTGATATTTCTCACTAAGTTACTCTTTAGATATAGCTATTTTCACCAGCATAAGATTCAAGACTTGAATATTCTCTCCTAGAGTTAAGCTGTTGAGTGTACTATGGTAAATGTTTTGAAATTTTTGTTCACATCTCCAGGCATATGTATTGAATCTTGTTCAAGATAGTTCCAAACATCCTTTTTTTAGCAGTGGAAGTGCAGCTAGAATTGGAATAATTCTTTATTTTTCCCAACCCACTGTTCAACTTTTTCATTTGGCAGTTTTGAACATTAATGATTTAGAAGCTAGAGATATAATTATTTGTTTAAAAGAACGAGATGAGAACATAAAAATCATTGGGGCTGCCTCAGGAAAGGCAATGGAGGAGGGTCGTATCTTGTAAGTATCCTGCATTAAAGTTTATCCCAAGGAAGCAATTTGTTTCAAACTTGTTAAATGCTAGAGTCTTTTTTTTACCCCTTGAGAATTGCATTCCCACAACTATTTTACTAGTTGTTGCTCATAGGGCTAAATGCTTTAGATATGTACACAATCTAGATAACATTTTTACCTTCTATTAATTTCTAATAGTCCACTTCTCTCGAAATACTGATAACACACTTTTTTTCCAGTAAATAAAGATATCACTTGTTAGTTTGTATGTGAATTTGTAACTTCTTCCCAGACATGCCTACCTTAGTTTACCTAATCTTCTTGAGATTCAACAATTAGTTTATTTAGTCGACAACATCAGCTTAGAATATTCAATGTAATAAAAGGCTGATTTTCTAAAAAAAGCTGATTTCTTTGAAGGAAAGCTTCATTTTTATAATATTCACTCCCTCCTTCTGAAGTGAAGAAGAAAAATCCGGGTATTGTTAGAAGCATACATATGGAGGATAAGCTTCTAGATTTCAAAAATATTGAATCTCAATATTGGACAGAACTAGATGTAGTATTGAGTGATGTTAAGGAATTTTTGAATTCTACAGAGTTTAAGTTAATGAAATATCTATCAAAGCATCGTTTAACAATACAGTGCCTTGAAGTTTAATTACACTGCTCAAATTCCTCATCACGAATGGACACCTAAGTGTTGTAGAACAACCGCGTTTTAAGGAATACTCAACATTCCATTAAGGAAAATAGCTGTTGATAAAGAATTTTAGGATTTTTAGGTTCTAACTTCTACTTTACCTTGAATTATTTCTTTACTGTACAATAATACATTTATATCTACAATAATTTGTTGAAGGATGTACTGCTATGGTGCTAGCTTTTTTTGCTTGGAATACTCAACTTTTGATAGAAAAATGACATTTTGTGGAAGAAAAACGAGTGATCGACTAGTATAACTGGTTAGTTCCTTGCCAATAATTCCAACTTCCCATATATTTTCAAACATATTCAATACATACGCTAACCAAACCATAATTCATGCACAGCTCGTGCATCGCACGTAGCATAGACTAGTGTTGATAAAAGATAATGGAATATGTGGTTGAAAATTTGGGATTCCACGAAATGTGTAGTTAAATTAAATTGCTGACTTCAAATTAGATTTTAATCCCATTTTTTAGCTAAACCAAACAGGGGCTAAATAATTCATTCCGCTGCAAGAGTATCTACTAGTTTGGCAAAAAAACATGGGCATTGAGGTTTCAAAGATCAATGGAAATAGAAAGAACCAAAAGAGATCAACAGATATTTCTATAATGAAATATTAAATTTAGAGCAAATCATAAATTTAGTAAACCTTTTATTAATTTGCTAGGCAGTTAGATTTATTGACTCAAAATGCTTAAGAGGATATTTACTTTCCATGTGACAGATATTGATTCCCAGTTGTTAATATATTCACAAACTCATGCTTTCAAGTTCTAAGATACTGATGTTTCGCTCGCCTCATTATTTCATTCTTTAATATCTCAAAAAGCTCACATCTTACCGATGTTAGATGTGGTTCTTACACCTCTAGTCCCTGATAAGGGAATTTGGCAACCCACAATATGGCAACTTTCATTGCATTCCAAGTTTTCTTTTGTCGTTGATTTGTGGTGTTTTAATTAATATAATGATATTGACATTCAAAAGGAAGGAGAAAAAAAATGCTCATGCCTTGAATAAGAGTTCTTAATCACTCAAGATTAAGGTAGAGCATTTAGTTGATCTTGTTAAATACATTAACTATACAAGCTCAACCCATGACCAAGGCTTCTTAATCTATTCTTGCTAAGCATTGATGCAGCTCTAGGACTGCAGCGCACAGCACTACATTCACTGTACATAATCCTTGGGAGTTTGTACCTTGCTCTAACAACAGTCTTATCCATAACACTATCCAGTATCATCAACGAATTCAATCACAACCAGCACTATTGTTTACACAATTTTAGACCCCAGAAATAATACACAGAAATTTAAACCAGACAGACTGAACCCAATAAAAAATAACGTTAAAAAATCGAACAAAAAATTGTAGATTAATTAAAAGAAAAAATTATGTACCTTCGAGCTGATTAAACTTAATGCTTCTCTCAAGCACCCCAACTGAGCCTGATCTACTAGAAAAATACCCATGTTTTGAATCATACAAAGCTGCGTGAATAAAATCCCTAACCTTCAAATATTAATAAAACCAGAAAAAAAATCCCTTTACATAGTGTAAGGAAAAACAGCAGTCTTCAATATACATTATTCCTGAATGTTTATATTTTATGTTTAAATAGAAATAGAGAGATGGGTCACCAGAACCGGGGAGTCACAACCAATTTGTGTGGAAAAGTAAGCTGGAGCAAATGGAGTCACTGTAAAAGTGGAGTTAGAAACGTACGTAGAATTTATACCGGACAAATAATATCGTCTAGATATATATACGGCTATATGGATAGAGAAAGGACCTTTGGGAGAGAGTAATAGAGATGAAAAACGTTTGGGGCAGCAGACTGAACGAGCGGCCATTTTCGTACTGTTGAGCTTTTCCTCGACTGTTTCTACAGTCTTCAAAATTTCACCTCCAATTCGTAAAAAGTGAATGACACGAGCAAGAAATGGGAGAAAGTTGTGGTTAAGTCCTTGATCTATGCTGAATATAACGGGTCGAGTATTTATTTAGTTAGATGTGATCTTCAAAATTACTCTTTCATTAATTATCTTTTTAAAAGAGTAACTTATAAAGAAAACAAACGTGTTTTTAGAATTTAACTAATTAGAATCTGTGAGCAGTTCCAAATGTCTTAATGTGTGGGAAAAAAGAATAAAAAAAAGGAAAAGAAGAAGAAGAAGAAGAAGAAGAAGAAGAAGTAGACGCCATCTTCTTAGATTATAAGATTCTAAATTCTACAGAGCTGTAAAATACAAGAGAATTAGAGAACATACATAATGTAGCTCTGCGGAAATAATAAAAAAGAATGAAAATGGTAACTCAGTTCAATCACAAAAATGGCTAACTCTATGTGATTAGAAGGAAGTCCAAATCTCTGCCCCGTGGCCACAAGATTTTAATTGACTTAAAATCTAAACAAAACAAGCTCTAGATCACGAAACATGATCAATTGTTAGTAAATGTGTAAGAATATGGCCTAATTCTATACAATTTTTGTAGGATAACATCGATGAATATTGCGGAATTCAGAAGAAACAAGCGAAAAAATGACCAAAGTGGAAAAAAGTAAAAATTCAAAGACCAAAGTGTAAATAGCCAAAAGATTACTCGAAAGACAAGATGAAGAGGTGAAAGATTGAAAGGCCAATTTATTAAAGAGATGAAGTATTGGAAGAAGATTAAATGAGAAAAAGGGGTCAAGAAACGAGAAGACGAAATTTGAGGACTAAAATGCAAAAACCATGGAAGATAGTATTACTATACGGTTGCATAGTATATTTTTCCATGTGACCGCATGGTGATTTTTAGTAACTTGAGGCTTGAATTTTCTTGAACTATGCAACTGCATTGGTTTGTACTATGCGGTCATGCAATAATTTTTCGATGCGAAAATTCTGGTTTTTGTAATTGTTTAAAACTCTTATGGAAATAAATATTGGGACGTCTTTCAAAGCCCTAGAACCATCCAAATAGAGAGGGGATGGATTATAACACATTGATAAGGGTTTTTAGAGCGAAGAACGAGGAAGAACGTGAAGATTGATATCAAGACGTAAAGATTCAATTCAAAATTTAAATTGGTAATGTCTTTTCTTTATTATTCAGTTTGTTTTCTTCTTTCCACCATACTAGGCTAGATTTATTTGTGCTAGGAGACGATGAACCATGTGATATGACTTTTCAATTCTTAGTTTTACATTCTTGACATTAAAGCACGTTTTTGAAATTTGAATGGTTTATATGAATTTATTTTCTCTACAATTATTGTGATTGCGATTGTGTGAATTTGATGGCTTGTTTCATGCATTCGAAAGAGGAGGAATAGGCTCGACATGGTATAAATCATCGTAGAGTCTAATAGGGACAGAAATATACCCCTATACTTTTTGTGAATCTTTAAGTGTTGGTAAAACTTCAAGCATACTTGTTTATTCGCATTCATCATAGAAATATAGTCAGGTTGAGTAGGTTTAACATTACTTGAGAGAGATTGTTGAATAAAATAAGAATATTGATTCGTCAAAATTCAATCGTGTTATCAAAATGTAAAACTAAGTTTAAAAAGAATTATTGCATGGAGATTCACAATTCTAATATGTTTATCATTCATCAGAACACTTCAATTTGAATTTAAAAACAACTTGCATTTAGTTAGTTAAATCACTTATAATTTCATACATAATTTCGTTTAGTTATAATTAATTTTTTTAATATTCACAATAACAATACATTAATTTAACTAATAACATGTTCAATTTTAGCTCTTGAGAAATAACGTAGTCTAATTTCGTGATTTTTTTTGTGCATCTATTTGTCAAGTTCTTCATAAATTTGATTGTTAAAATAATAAGAAAAAGATTGCGAACTCATAATAATGAAGAGAAGCACGGTCGAGCTTCTAATTCAATTTCTCCATAATGAAATAAACGACATTATGTTATAAAAATAGATTTGGGTAAAAATTAAATCAATTCAATTAAGTTAGGTTTGGATTGAAAATTAGAAATAGAAAAAAAAAATCATATTTTGGGGTTTAGGCTAAATTAATTGGTTAGCAAATTTATTTTGAGAAAAATAAAATAATTTAGTTTATTTAAGATATAAAATTAAGGAGATTCGGTTCTTATTTGATTCTTTGTCTATAATCGAGAAACGAACTAAATCTATCAGTTCTTGATTCAGATAACTGTTTGGGTATTTAACTCAGGAAGAACCCTCAGTTGGATTAGTATCCAGTTCAATCGATCAATTCAGCTCGAGAGTTCTGTCAAACACTAACATGATCTAAAACTTCAAACATCATATGCAAAGTCCAAACTAGGCCAAATATGTTATTTCGCATAATTTTAACCTGAGACGTTATTTGTCTCGAAAACCATCGAACCACACATTTTCCTTTTAAAAAATAGCACTTTAGTCCTTGATGTTTACTAAATTTACAAATTTGTCCTAAACTCGTGAAATTGGCAACAGTGCGTCTAAACCTCAAATAATAATTTATATTCATCCTCAAAACTATAATTAATGTCTGAAAATAATAAAATTCAGTTTTCCTATATCGTAGTTTAGTCCCTAAACTTTTCAAATGTCGCAATTAAGTTCCAAATTGCATTCCTACCATCAACTAACTCATATTATCAGTAAACCTTAATCTTATCGCTAATTAAGTTAAATCTTATTTTCCCAAATTTCCATTTTGGTCCATCAAGAATGGAAAGAAATTCAATTTGGTCCTCAAATTTACAAACTTTACACTTAAGCCCTAATCCAAAATTAAAAATATTACATCTTATCTAGAATGTGATTCCAAAACAAAATACTTGTGTTCTTCTATTTGATATTACACAATCTCAAATACTTTTACTCAAGTCAGCCACGTTGACACTGTAGACTTAAAAATAAAATAAAATAAAATAGATTTGGTCGATTTAAATCATTAGCCCACTTAAATTTTAAATCTACTAAAGTCAATAGAAAACCAAAGGCCCTTATCACATTTTAAAATAAACAAACAAATAAATAAAATCATAATTACTCAATTATCTCTTTTAATTAAATATAATTGAGCATTACCAAAATTAGCACAAATTTCCTCCTATAAATAGGACCAATGGTCCATAAGACAAGGGAGGAAGAGGTGAAGAAGAAGCAAGAAAGAAAGCAGAAAACCCCACGAAGTGTTGAAAAAATTACAAGGTTGAAAGAAGGGAAGAAATTCTCTCAAATCTAAGTTCGGTGAACCCCAAGAAGATTAAAATCTTCTTTGAATCAAACAGGTTCACGTCAAGTCCAAGAATATCAAAGTCTCATTCAAATCAAATTCAAATCTAAGTCCAAGCCTCAAGATTCAAGTTCGAACAAGTCAAGTCTCGACAAATCAAAATTCTAACAAATTCTCAAAGATCAAGATCAAGCCACATGGCCCCTCGTCTTCAAATATCCAGATCATTAATCTGAAGATTTTTGCAACTTTGTATTTACAAGAATGCCAACATCACTTGTATTTATCAAAATAAAATTTGTAACGATTTCTATATTTTAATACACGAAATTTCGTCGTACAAATTTCTTGGCACGCCCGGTGGGACCTTCTTGTCCTCTCATCTTTTGATCTCAAAATCTTCAAGTTTCAACTATTACATCAGCAATGACAGGCAAAAAGGCAAAACAAACTATGACTTATCTTGAAAAAACCCTTGCTGAACTCTTCCATGCGACCAGGGCCCATACAAAAACTGGGAAAACTCAACTGGTCACACCACTGAAAAAGTTTTCCAACAAAGGCAAAATGAAAATTGCCTTTAAAAAGCTAAACTCTCATTCAACAGAAAAGACCATAAGTTCAGCGAAAAGTTCTCGTTCGGGCTCCATCTCCAGTGGTAGATCCTTGTCTGGATCTCCTCATGCTACTTCTCAGCAAAAGTGGGAAGATGATTCCTCCTCCGAAGAATCACTTGAGCCAGTGATGGTCACAAAAGCGGTATCGGGCTCAGATGATCGAATTCAACAAATGGCCTTAGCCATTGAAAAACTAACAAAGTCGTTGGAAGACAAAGATGCACAGATCGCTGCACTCATACACAGGCTAGAGTCGTAAAATCCACCTACTAAAAAATATCAGGAAAATTCAGGATCTTCCAAAACAAAAGAGTTAGAAGTCTAAGAGTGCCAACAAAAGCAAGATATGCATGATCGGACAGTTGTTCAAAACATATTGCGTGACACAACTCAACTCTCCGTTGGCTCTCTGTCCGTCCAACAACTTCAACATATGATTGCAGATACCATTCGTGCCCAGTATGATGGTTCACTACAATCTTCTTTGGTGTATACAAAGCCCTGTAGTCGTCGAATCAACGAAATAAAGATGCCACTCGGTTATCAACCTTCGAAATTTCAGTGTTTTGATGGCAAGAGCAACCCAAAGCAACATGTTGCCCATTTCATTAATACGTGTAACAATGCAAGCACTTACAATAACACCATGGTGTAGCAGTTCGTACGTTCCCTCGAAAGTGCTGCCTTTGAATGACACACCGACTTACCAGTAGGGTCAACTGATAGTTAGGATTAGCCGAGAGAGAGTTCCTAATACGCTTCTACAGCACCCGACGAACTGTCAGTCTTCCAGAACTTGCTCGAGCAAAGTAGAGCAAGGAAGAGCCCATTGTGGAGTACATTGAACATTGGAGAAACATTGTGCTTAATTGCAAAGAACGAATAAGCGAAGCATCTTCCATCGACATGTGTATACAAGGCATACATTGGGGATTACTCTATAATCTCCAAGCAAACATGCCTCACTCATTTGAAGAATTGGCTACACGTGCTCATGACCCGGAGCTCCAAATTGCAAGGCATGGGAGTTATTTACCAAGTGATCCACGTGACAAGAAGGATCCTAAGAACGAAATAAAGAAGGACGTCAAGATAGGTAAATCCAAAGAGGCTATGACGATTTCTACTGTTCCTGCAAAGATAGCTTTCCAATGGTTGAGCTCGAACTCGAAACCTAAGCCAGAGTTCAGACCTAACAAAGGACAAGTCCAAAACAGAGGTAATGTGACTCTGAAAGAACTTGAAGGAAAGGAGTATCCATTCTCAGATTCTGAAATTCTGGATCAACTCCTTGAATAGAAAATAATCGAACTCCTAGCACCAAAAAGACCCGACGAAGCTGGTAAGATTGATCGTCCTAAATACTGTAAATTTAACAGGATCATTAGTCATTCAATGGAAAAATATTTTGTCTTAAAAGATCTTATTGTTCACCTGGACAAAGAAAATAAGATCAAACTTGATACTGGAGAAAATCCGAAAGTTGCCTACTCAATGGTTTCGTTTGGATCATTTGATCAAATTTCCATTCCAGGAAAGAAACAAACATTATCTAATGTACACGATACCTATAAACCCTCAGTTAAGGAGTTTGGACCTCAACTTCCAGAAGGAGCCATCCCAGTGGAGTTTGAGGTAGACGGATGTGTCACTATTAGTTACGTCTATCCGGGGATGGAAGGACTAAGCGCGCCCAATCGTCCAATCTTTTATGAAATTATGACAGGTGACTTGGATGTTTGGGATTCTGACTCAGAATCGGAAGACAAGATCGGTGACGGCTGGTCCACCTTCATAAATAAGAAGGAGAAATATTGAATGTCAAACAAAACAGGTAAAATATTACTTTCTATGCCTTTTGTACAGAGCTGGAGGGATTGGGTACAAAAATTCAACCCAATAAAGAGAAAACATTAGAAGAAGATCAGGGGACATGGACCCTTATGAAAAGATGTCGTCGAAAGGCTCTATAACTCTCAAATTCTAATGCTTATGACAAAAAATCAAGACCAAGGAACAACCGAAGAAGGTCTAAAGCCAAATCAAGAAGATTCACCAAATTGATGGGGGTTGAAGCTGCTTCACGTGTTCCTCCCAGATTGCCAAACTTGAGTGATTATTTCCCCAATGATTTCTTTGATAAAGAATGTTTTACATCCAATGTTATCAATGTAGAGAAAGAAAATGAGATGAAAAATGCATCCAGACGGACTTCAAAACAGAAGAAAACTATCTCATGGCTTAATAATATTCTGCTAATACGAGCCTAGCAAAGTCTCTTAGTCTTCCTTTCGATGATCGGATGGCTTTGGTCACAGCGTTAATCGATCCGGAAAAATATGAAGGCAAAGTTTTAGAGCATATTGGATCCACAGCTCCTCAAGATTGTATGGCCGCCATAACATTTGACGATGAAGATTTATAGCTAGGTTCTCGTCCACATAATAGGCCGCTGTATGTCAGCGGTTATATTCGAGGATGCAAGATAAATCGCATAATGGTCAATTGTGGATTTGCTGTGAATATTATGCAGATCAAAATAATGAAGAAGTTGGAATTAATGTTGGTGACCTGTTCAGAAGCAAAATCATGATTCAAGGAATCAATCAGAAAGGTCAGCGAGTCATTGGCATGATTCGCTTGAAGCTGCAAATAGGAGAGTTAATCTCCTCAGCTCTCTTCCATGTCATTGATGTCAAAACATCATACGAGTTACCCTTTCAATGTGTTTGGCTACATGAAACTGGAGTAGTACCTTTGACTTGGCATCAATGTTTCAAATATGGCCAAGATGGAGAAGTTAAATGTGTGGTAGCTGAGATTAAACCATTCCTTGAAGAAGAATCCCATTTTGCTGATGCTAAATTTTACATGGAATATGAAGGGTGCAATTTTGTAGGGTTACCATGTCTGGATTCAAAATCAAAGAAGATGCAAATGATCATGATATGTCTAGTGCTACTCAATCTCATCAACTTATCAAAGGCAAGTCAAAATTTACATCCGAAGGATTCTCTAAAGGTAAAAAAACCACAAATAGAATCAACCGATATTGAGGTATTGAGAAAAGAGTTAACTCTTCCAATACCTAGTATTCCAAAATTGTTTCTGCCCCATCAACTCATGGTGGTCTGAGAGGAACATAAACCTACGTCAAAGGCTTTGACATATGTTCCATATCAAAGCTTTGATTTCTAGCTCGTCCAAACAAGAAGGAGCTCCTGAATCAAAACTGACTTTCAAAGGATGTTACAATCCTCAAGTTAAGAAGTTGTTTGAAAATGTCGAGTTTGGAAAAGGAGAGCCTCGAAGATTAGGTGATCTTGATGTCGTCCTTCATGAAGACGTGTCCCTTCTAATTCTGATGGAGCCTTGGTGTCCCGACCTAGGTATGGTTTAGGATATAATCCTAATCCACCGAGGAAGATTAAGGTCAAGAAGGTTTCCTCAAACCCCATCATGGTTCAAATTTATGAAGTTGCAGAAGAGAAATCAGAACAACCGAGACCTTCATCGTTTGATCGAATTGAAAATGAGAATGTCAGAGTTTCGGTGTTTAAAAGGTGAAAAGGAGAACCCTTTCCAGTGGTCGACGTAAAAGGTAAAATTTATGTCTTCCAAAGATTAAATGAAGATTCTTGTTCTTCTACCCAAATTGATAGGAATGTACAAGCTCCCCAAATGTCATCCCAAAGACAATCTGCATTTTCTCGACTTGGAATTAAAACTTCTGATCCAAGTCCGAAACCACGACGGTGAAGAAGAAGATGAAGACATCAAAAAGTTCAGTCATCCCTAAAAGGTAATGAAGATGAGGAAGAAGTTTCTGTCAATCACATAGCCTTTGAAGAAACTCTCGATTCGGACTCTGAGTCTGAAAGTGATGAACCTGAACCAGCCCCACCTACATTTGAAGAAGGTGGAAAAGCTACTGTGGATGACTTGGAATAATTGAACTTGAAGACCGAAGAAGACCCAAGACCAGTATTTGTAAGCGCCCTCCTCAGTCAAAATGAAGAATTCGAGTATCCTAGTTTGCTTCAGGAATACAAAGACGTGTTTGCGTGGCCTTACAAGAAAATGTCAGGGTTAGATCCTAAGGTTGCAGTGCATCATCTTGCAGTAAGACATGGAGTTCAACCGGTCAAGCAACCTCAAAGAAAATTTCGGCCAGAACGGATTTCTCAAATTGAAGTGGAAGTCAACTAACTCATTGAATCTAGATTCATACACAAAGTGAAATACCCAACATGGATCGTGAACATTGTTCCTGTCAAAAAAAAGAACGGGCAATTTAGAATTTGCGTTGACTTTCGAGACCTGAATCAAGCATGTCCAAAAGATGATTATCCACTTTTGATAACAAAGTTGATGGTGGATGCAACTATCGGATATGAAGTCTTATCTTTCATGGACGGATTTTTTGGATACAACTAGATACGGATGAATCCAAAAGATGAGAAGCTCACATCATTTCATACCCCTAAGACCGTGGAATGTTATATAGATGATTTTGTTGTTAAAATAAAGAGAGGTGGCGATCATTTACAAGATTTACATGATATTTTCAAAAGACTTCGAAGACGTCAACTGAAAATGAATCCATTAAAATGTGCATTTGGCGTCACCTCTGGAAAATTTCTCGACTTCGTTGCTCGACACCGAGGCATTGAAATAGATCAATAAAAAATTGACGCCATAATCAACATGCCAAAGCCAAGAAATGTACATGAGTTGAAAAGTCTTCAAGAAAAACTTGCATACATTCGAAGATTTATCTCTAACCTGGCGAGACGATGTCATCCATTCAACAAATTGGTGAAGAAATATGTACCATTTGAGTGGGACGACGCTTGTCAAAATGTTTTCCAAAGCATTAAGTAATATCTGTCTCGTCCACCGATACTCACAGCTTCAATCCTAAGGAAGCCACTAACTCTTTATGTTGCAGCACAAGAATATTCTCTAGGAGCACTTCTTGTCCAAGTCAACAATGAAGGAAAAGAAAAATGCACTCTATTACTTGAGCCGGACACTGGTAGGCATTGAAATGAAGTATTCGCCTATTGAAAAAATATGTCTTGCTTTAATCTTCGCGGCTAAAAATTTGAGGCATTATATGTTATCACACATAATCAATCTTGTTTCAAAGATTGATCCATTGAGGTACATAATATCCAGGCCGATTATTCCTGGAAGGATTGGAAAATGGGCACTATTATTGTCTGAGTTCGATATTATTGTCTGAATTCGATATCAAATTCATTCCACAAAAGGCCATTAAGGGACATGCTTTGGCAGATTTCTTTGCTGACCACCCAATTCTAGCGGAATGGGAACTTCAAGAAGACCTTCCCGATGAAGAAGTTCTATTTACCGAAGTCATACCATCATGGAGACTATACTTTAACAGGGCAGCCTGAAGCTATGGTGCCGGAGTAGGAGTAGTCTTTGTCACTCCACATGATCTTGTCATGCCCTACTCTTTTGCCTTAACAGAGAAATGTTCAAACAACGTGGCGGAATATCAAGTCCTTATCCTTGGCTTAGAAGCAGCGTTAGATATGGATATCCACCCGCGAGAAGTCTTCAGGAATTCAAAATTGATAATTAACCAACTTTTAGCTGAGTATGAAGTTCGTAATTCAGACCTGAAGCCATATCATGAATATGTTTATGAGACGATTTGATTCGGTAAAAATCAAATTCGTCCCGAGAAGTGAAAATAAGGAGGCTGATGCCTTAGCTAATTCGGCCGCTGTTTTAGCTAGGTCAGATGGAGACTTCTCCCACTCTATATAAATTGCTCAATGATGGGTACTTTCGTCATTGTTACCTAATAATTTGGAAGAAAATAATAGAATCGAAGTAGTCGAAGATGAGGAAAGAGAAGATTGGAGACAACCGATAATCGATTTTCTTCAACATTAAAAGCTACCAGATAATCCACGACAAAAAACTGAAATCAAGAGGCGTGCCTCTCGCTTTATCTTTTATAAGGAAACACTTTATCGACGATCATTTGATGGAGTTTTCCTTCGATGTTTGAGTAATGATGAAGCAACACAAGTCGTGAAAAAAGCCCACTTTGGAATTTGTCGTGCCCATCAGTCTGGACCTAAACTCTATTTTCGAATAAAAAGGATGGGGTATTACTAGCCAACTATGGTACAAGACTCCATAAATTATGCAAGAAAATGTGAAGATTGCCAAGTCCATGCGAATTTTATCCATCAACCTTCGGAACCATTACATCTGACAGTAGCTTCATGGGCTCTTGATGTAATTGGACCTATAACTTCAAAGTCTTTAGCAGGGATTGCATACATTCTCATCGGGACAGACTACTACTCTAAGTGGGCTGAAGCTGTACCATTGAAGGAAGTAAAGAAAGAAAATGTTGCAAATTTCATTCGTATCCAAATCATTTATTGATATGATGTCCTGCGACATATCATAATCGATAATGGCAAACCATTCTGCAATAGCCACATAAACAATTTATGTTCAAAGCTTGGGTTCAAACAGTACAACTTATCCATGCACAATTCGGCAGCTAACGGATTAGTAGAAGCATTCAACAAAATACTATGCAATCTGCTAAAAATGGTTGTCTCCAAATCAAAAAGAGATTGGCACGAAAAAATTGGTGAAGTCTTATGGGCTTATCGAACTACTTATCGGACTCCAATATAAGCCACTTCTTATGCCTTAGTATATGGGGTGGAAGCTGTACTTCCTCTGGAGTGTCAAATCTCGTCACTTCGAGTTGTCATCCAAGAAGATTTGACAACTAAAAAAATGCATGTCTTCGATTGGAAGAGCTAGAAGCTTTAGATGAGAAGAGATTAGAAGTACAAATGCACCTAGAGTGCTATCGAGTTCAAATGGCGAAGTCATTCAACAAGAAGGTGCGACCAAGGTCATTTCAAGTAGGAGATCTGGTGCTTTCTATGCGCAAGCCAATCATAATCACAAGAAAAACAAGGTGCAAGTTCCAGCCTAAATGGGATGATCCATTTCTTGTTACTCATGCATTCACTAATGGAGCGTATAAGATCGTTGACAAAAATGGACTGCAAATCGGACCTAACAACTAAAAATTTTTAAAACGTTTTTACGCCAGAAGTTCTTTATTTTTTTTAATGGGCAGTTGGCACAAAAAATCCCTACCTTTCAAGCTTATTGTCGAAAACGTCCATACCTTTCATTTTTTGACATTTTTGCCCTTATTTCAACATTTCGTTGCGCTGAAGGTCCTTTTCACCGTTTTGGAACAGAAAATGACAATTATACCCTCTTATTTAAAGCCAAAAAAAAGAAGAAAAATTCAGAACAAATTGCAACCCTGCCCCTAAACTTATTGATATGGTGTCCCACGACATATCATAACTAATAATGGCAAACCATTCTGCAATAGCCACATAAATAATTTATGTACAAAGTTTAGGTTCAAACATTACAACTCGTCCATATACAATTCGGCAACTAACGGATTAACAGAAGCATTCAACAAAATAATATGCAATCTGCTAAAAAATGTTGTCTCCAAATCAAAAAGAGATTGGCACGAAAAAATTGGTGAAGTCTTATGGGCTCATCGAACTACTTATCGGACTCCAACATAAGCTACTCTTTATGCCTTAGTATATGGGGTGGAAACTGTACTTCCTCTAGAGTGTCAAATCTCGTCACTTCGAGTTGCCATCCAAGAAGATTTGACAACTGAAGAAAATGTTTGTCTTCGATTAGAAGAGCTAGAAGCTTTAGATGAGAAGAGATTAGAAGTACAAATGCACTTGGAGTGCTATCAAACTCGAATGGCGAAGTCCTTCAATAAGAAGGTGCGACCAAGGTCATTTCAAGTTGGAGATCTGGTGCTTTCTATGCGCAGGCCAATCATAATCACAAGAAAAATAAGGTGCAAGTTCCAGTCTAAATGGGATGGTCCATTTCTTGTTACTCATACATTCACTAACGGAGCATATAAGATCGTTGACAAAGATGGACTGCAAATCGGACCTATCAACGAAAAATTTTTAAAACGTTTTTACGCTTGAAGTTCTTTATTTTTTTAATGGGCAATTGGCACAAAATATCCATACCTTTTAAGTTTATTATGGAAAATGTCCATACCTTTCATTTTTTGGCATTTTTACCATTATTTCAACCTTTCGTTGCGTTGAAGGTCCTTTTCACCTTTTTGGAATATAAAATGACAATTATACCCTCTTATTTAAAACAAAAAAGAGAAATTCAGAACAAATTGCAACCCTATCCCTAAACTTTTAAAAAAGTGCAAATGAGTCCCCAATACTCCCTCAATCCATCACAACTAAGATTTTAGAACCACCACTTATGGTCCACCAAAACTCCACCCTACGGCTACCTTGGGCACGGGACCAATATACCATCTTGAAGCCCACACTTCTCTCTTCGTAGCCCATCTAAGATCGGCCATAGCTCCAATCAATTTGGCCGAAAATTCAAGCCAAAATAGGTTGCCCATGCAATAAACAGTGGCCGAAATCTTCACTTTCGACGACACCCATGCCCTACACAACCGCCACTTTGGCCGAACTAACATACCACCTTAAAGCCCTCACTTCCCTCTTTGCAATCCACCCAAGATCCAGCCATAACTCCAATCAATTTGCCTGAAAATTCAAGCCAAAATAGGTTACTCACGCAAGAAATAGTGGCTGGAATCTTCACTTCTGGTGACACCCATTCCCTACACAACCTCCATATCGATTCTACACGCTAAAGCGTCCCTGTCCATGGTCCTCAAACGTCCTTTAATGCACACATTCAAACCCAGCCAGCTAAGCTTTGAACATAATTGCTGTGCAGCTCTCAGGCAATTTTGTTGACGTCGATGGTGGAACCCATGATCGCGAACCACCACCTGAGGTACCTACACCTCATGGCGCATCCAATGAGCATATGGGTCTTCCTCATTATCGCCTGGACATGGTTATTCATTCAGAAATCGAGAAATGAAACCTAACCTGTGCGAAGGAGAATTTTTACCATTAGAATGAAATTAATGAAAGCCCATTGAGTGGTATGTGTAGAGAGGAGTGAGGGCTTTCCGGTGGTATGGAGATCCGGTCATTTGAATGGTGGTTAGCCATAATTTTTTGGCTTGGAAGGTAGCAGTAGAGGGGGGGGGGAGCAAGAGAAGAGAAAGTGTTTTTTTGTTATTTTCAATATTTTAAGTATTGGGGACTCATTTGCACTTTTTGAAAAGTTTAGGGATAGGGTTGCAATTTGTTTTGAATTTTTCTCTCTTTTTTTGTTTTAAATAAGAGGGTATAATTGTCATTTTACGTTCCAAAATAGTGAAAATGACTTTCAGCGCAACAAAATGTTGAAATAAGGGCAAAAATGCCAAAAAATGAAAGGTAAGGACGTTTTTCACAATAAGCTTGAAA